CTTTGGGGTTTTGGATGGTGGACTGGAACCCTACCCACCATCCCTCAAGTGTATCGCTCATTAAAGGCTCAAACTTACGGCTGAGAGTGAGCCACTCCGCCTCATAAAAAAAAAAAAAAGCACCCATATTTTTCCTTCTGGCTTCCGGTTTCCCAGGCTGCACATCGCTATGGGCTAGAAGGTTGTGCCTCTAGCGACAGGCTGGACCCAGGTGGAGGAGGGATCCTGAGAAGCCAGGGTTCTTTCCTTGGAGTTTGGCTACTTAACCTTTGAGAGGCCAGAGCACTTTGGACCGCTCGGCTTGACCACATGTCTTTCACAAGGACATTTGGGGTGAGGCCATCTAGTGCTCTGTTGCTCACACACATTTTCGAACTCTTCTGGAACAGTCTATTCCTTGACAACCCAGAACTAACTAAATTAAAGTCCCCGTAACTAACTAAATAAAAGTCCCTGTAGAGGACTGCAGAGCTTCAGAGGACCTGAACCCTTCAAACAAACCACAGTCACATGTGCTTGAAGGGGCTTGAAGGGGCTCACAGTGAGACCACTTCCAAGTTCCCCTGTCCCCCTCAGTCACCAGGGTACCCTCAAAGCCCCCCACATTTTTATGGAGCCGGTATAGTTTTCCTTTGACCGGAGGGAAAGGAGTCATTACTGCATGGCTAGTGGCTTCAGCTGGGTAAGAATATCAGCGTGTGTGTGTGTGTGTGTGTGTGTGTGTGTGTGTGTGGCGGGGGGGGGGGCGTTGGTGAGTGGGTATTCATTACCTAACCCTTGCTGGCAGGCCGATTTTATCAGTGACTTGGCTGCTGGTAGCTCTTGATGGACGTGGGTGAGTTCGGAGCCGCCTGGAAACATGAAGGAAGGGCTGGTGTCAGATGAGAGGCATCTCATCAACTCTTCTCTGACAAACCAAATTCATTCCTTATGTAATTGATAACGGCCTTGGCCAATTATTTCCCACATTACAATACACAGAGGCCCCCTTTACAGGTTTTGCAGGGCTGTAATTAGCTATGCTAATATCCCCTTTATTGGCCCTAATATTGCTCAACACCTTTTGCCATCCTGGAGCCCACTAGAGCCCCATGGCCTGTCAGGACTGCTGATTATTGAGAAGGATAGCTTTAATCAAACATAATTGCAGTTAATTTTTCTCTCCTGCTCTCTGTTGCCAGCGTCTAATGCCACGGACTCCTTGATATTCCATTAAATTACAATTAAACAGCCTCCTTTGTCTCTGATTGTCCTGAACACCACCACAAAGTTCTGTAGCCGTTTAAAGGAGAGCTGTTTGGTCCTAATTGCCTGCTAGCTCACAAAGGGCCAATTTACACAATACCCATGTAGAATTTAAACAGTTCATAATGTAATGGATATTACACAGGAGCCTAACACTACAATTAAAATGATTTTCATCAGATAGAGAAGCTTCGGTTAATCAGCTTCATAAAAGTAAATATAAATGAACTAATTCATAGCTTAAACACACAGAGATGGAGCCGACTTTGAAATTAGTTACTGTGGTGGGGGCTCTGTTCGCCCCTTATCCTGGGATACCCATGCTGGGCTCCGGTGGAAACAGTAGGTCCCGTTACTTGTTCTAGCCTCTCCCGAAGCAGCTTCATCCCTCTGCGGTCCTGTATTCATGTTACCATTGGAGTCTTGTTGTTGGGTCTTTGATGCAACACTATCAAAACAAAACTCTGAGCTCTGCTCATTGGGTGCTGTGGGCCACACCCTTCACAGCAGGAGGATAAGTGTTCCATCAGGAGGGGATTTTCAACCTTAAACTCAAGCTATGGGGCTAGGCCTCCTGGCCTTCCAGCCGAAGGCTTTGCTGTGTCATGTTCCCAGCCCGCATCATGGGGATCTCTGGCATTAGAAGAGTGAACCAGCCTCCCAAGAATGAATGAGAATAGTATGGCCGCTCTCCTAATCTGTGCAACCCGGAGGAAAGTCTGTTTCCACAGTGATGGCCTCTTACTTCCTGCCTGAGAACTTTCTGAAATTTTTCATGATCTTTCCAAGAGGAATATTCCTGGGGATTGCATGGTGTGGAGCAGTTTGTGTTTAGCCTGTCTTCCCCTCTGCCTGTAAGAAACAAGTAAATAAAGCCTATATTTCAAGCTTGATTTACTCTGGTTCCTACTGTGAAAGATGATGAGTCTTTAGGGAAATAAAGATGGGGTCAGGGAATTAGTGCACATAACGGTCATTTTGACGTTGGGCCAGCAGATGCCAGGGAAACACACTGTACACAATTAAGCATAATGTACTAATGACAGGTTAGAAATTTTATCGCCTCTTGGCGATCGAGCAGCAAGTCCACATTTAGCAATAATAAAGAGTTTATTGGTGCTAAAGCCAAAGATTTTCTGACATACGAAGGATTTTTTTTTCCTTTCATAACAAGAGTTTTAAATCCTTTGTGTACCAGACTCTGGAAGTGAGAGATGCAAAGTGGTTGTCAGATATTTCCTAGGAAACAGGCAATTAAAGGGTAATTGAGTAAAGGATGTGGGAATTGCCATTGGACCTCGTGCGTGGGCATTCAGTTTTCTCACCCCTTTCCCAAACATTGCCACAGCACACCTCATGGAGCGCGTCCACTCCCACGCAACAGTGCGCAGTGTCAGCATGCTCGCTTCGACTGGGCTGCATGTCCCGCCTATGAATACTTAATTGCATCCTAGGATTAAACAGGAACCAAACCACGGGGGTAAAAATAAGCACCCCTTGTGTGCAGAGGTTTCCCTCGAGCCTGGCAAGGTGGCGCTGGCTTGGGTGTACTTTGTGTCATTGGAGCCGGGGAACTTGGAAAGGACCCTGCTCTGTATAGGGGTTGTTCCCGGTAGATCTTTCTCACATACCCACAACCACTGCCGTTACACGCTCTGCATAGAAGAGCTGTGATTGCCACGTGCAAGAGAGAAAACAAGCATGAACATGTGTGCATGATGTCTGTGCCCGCTTCTGCTCCCAGCTGCCCTCCCCCCAGTGCTCAGGGAGTTCGTGGCACCCAGCACCCAATCTTACTCTTCTGGTTTCTGAACTGATGATAGTTAAAAGCCCCAGAATGCCCAGGGCTCCTTAGGATGTCTTTAAAACCCACTCTGTTATCTTGGAGGTAAGAGGGCCAATCTGGCTAAACCGACATCAAGGAATTTAGCATAACCTCCTCAGAAAGGGGAGAAATGTTTCATTTTACAAAATAAAAAAAAAGCCCCCGACACCAGCTCCGCGTAGGTACCTTTGCGGATGAGCAGCTTCTCGCCAGCGCCTGCTCAGAAGATTAGCCGGGTGGTAATGTGGGGCATAATTGCGCCGTGTGGCTGTCCCTGAAGTGAAAACCTAATTGCCTGACAGGACGATAACTTTGTGGCGCCCTCACCTTGTTAGGCCCTTTCTGATGCAGTTCAAATGCAGTGTGGCCGCAGGTGCGCCTAATTTACCTCTCTGCAGAACGTGTGGAGTTTAATTGCACAGTGGTTGTTAGGAAAAATTGGTGGGTGGAATATCAAGTGACTTGCTCTAGCTGATGGCAGATGGTGTTAAGAGGCATTGTGAGCTAAGTGTATAGGTGAGTCGAGTTAATAAAAGATGTAAATTCAGGCCCAAAGTAGCAGGGACTCATGGTATGTAAGGAAATTTAATTGAATGGCCACCATTCTTAGCCTCATCAAAGGGATTCTCTTCTGTCCTCCTTGGGTCTTCCAGGATGTGTTGGGAAGACAAACAGGTCTTATTCCATGGAGTCTTTTATTCTCTCGTATTGTAATCGCTAACGAAGAACCCTGAACACGAAAGACTGAATTCCAGGAAGTACTGTAATTTTATGAAGTACGATAAAACATCAATCACTTTCAAATAAGACACGTGATGTTCGGGGAGAAAATCCGAGAAGGCATTTTCTGTAGCCTTGCTGCACAGGCTCTCACAGTGGCGATGTGCTAGCAGGGAATCTTCCTTCCACACACTGTGGAGATAGTGCAGGGACAGGCTCTGGGGGGGGGGGAGGGGGCGTTCACAGCCAGGTTGCCTAGTGTTCACCTGTTCGTACTAAGACAGCACATCTGTTTGTACGGGAATGGGGAAGGTGGGATGACTGCGTTTTCATCAAAGCCTCTCAACACACGGTCAGGACTCCTGTATCTTTCTGCTGCATACAAGGCCAGGTCTGATGGGAGGTGAAGCTGGCTGTCATGTTTGGCCTCTTCATTCCCACCAGGGCTGTTGCTCCTGTACTCTGTCTAAGCAAGAGTTTTGGTGGACACACCAAACCCACCAGCTAGTCGCTTAAAAACACGGAGATGGTCCACAGAAATCATGGAAACCCCACACCGTTCCCTTCCTGAGGGTTAAGCCTATTGTAACTATTTTTCTTTTTTTAATTGAATTCATTCTTTGACTACTTTATACTCGTGTGTAATGCATTTTGAGTGCTCCCACACTCCTACTGCCGCTTTAAAACTTGGTCTTTGCTGGTGTATTTGCTTTAGCAAGATAAACGCTGCAAACTGGGGTTTCTAGATAAATGTAGCACATTCAATAGGATTTCAACTTTGATATTTTTACATAGATTCACCGTAAGACACCCCTATGCTAAAAGTCAATTTTTGCTTATCCAAAATTCAAATTTTACTAGGCATTCTGCATCTTAATAGGATGATGTCAGTGTCTCTGTCTGGGGTGGGTGTCTCTAAAGGCTAATAGTTAATGCAAGGATCCTTGCAAGATGAGATCCTTTGGAAAGACAGAGTTATTATAAATCTTGGGAATCTGTAGTGTCATCAGACAGCTGTGCAAATTGCCACTCAGAACGGAGCCCAGGAGCCTCTGTCTGCCAGCTCCACAGCTGCACTCAGCATTGCCCCCTACATGGCAGCCAGCACAGTGGTGGCATCTTTTCTGTTATTTCTGTGCAAGCCTTTTTTTTTTTTAAAGTTGTCCTTTTATAGGCTAACCTTAACTGTGCATTCTTTGTGTTTTTGTAGATTCTTTCTAAAATTCTTCCTCAAGTGCAATCAGAACTGCTTGAAGAATGCAGGCAACCCCCGGGACATGCGGAGGTTCCAGGTACGCATCCCTCCAAGGCGCCAGTGCAACCTGCCGGTTCTGCCAGAGTTTCAGAGGCCTCCACTCTTCAGAAAGGCCGTTAGTTCCCCAAAGCTAGCAACATATTAGGTTTGATTTGTTTGATGAAAATAGGCAGATGAAGGGCTTGATGATGACTCAGTGGTTAAGAATGCTTACTGTTCTTGGGTTCAGTTCTCAGTATCCACATAGAGACTCCCAATAATCTCTAACTCCAGTTTCGGGAGATCTGACACCTCCTCTTCTCTAAGGACATCCACACCTATGTGGTCCGTCTACTATATACATATACACCAAAAAATTAAATAGAGATAGACAAATAAAATGCCTTTTAAATGATCTAGTGTTTTCAGTATGCCAGATATGAGTCTGTGCAGAGTCAGGAAGACAAGATGATTAGGTTTCCCACAGCCTCCTGATAGCAGTGCTCAAAGCTTGGCCAGGCTGAAGATGCACATTTTTAGGGATCGAATGGCCAGTTGATTGATTGTCATTGTGTGTGGGGATGGCGAGTGGGAAAAGAACCATAATGTAAATGCTCTAGTGTGCTTGGTGTCTAGAGCCTCCTCATATAGGGTCTGCCCTTGCTTAGCATAGGCCTTTACAAATGGCCCTACCCTCCAAGGTCCAAGGTGTCTGACGTCCTCCACTTAGAGTCCAGCTGCCTCCTGTCTGTTCTCCATCTTGGCTTGCACATGCCCGTTTGCAGTGGTCTGCAAGGGAGAGGAATTTTTGTTGGCTTCAAGGGCTACTAGCTCTGACAGCATCCATGGTTTTCTTGTCTTTATGGATGATGAGAAGGCTCTCTCAGGGTCTTGGGCTCTCTGTGTATGAGATAGACTGTCTTGCTGATCTTTATTGTAAAATTAGAAGAACCAAGCCCTGAATGGAAATGAATCCTTGGTTAGCTACATTACTGAGGGAATATTATTTAGGATGTCAGCTTTGTTGCTCAAGTATCTCACAGTATTTGAAGGGTTCTGTGTGTTCTTCAGGGAGGTATGTGATGTCTATCTTTTGCCTTCATGGTTCTTCAGGAAAGCGGGTCCCTGTTGACCCATATTGACTTTTGTGATTGAGGATAGCATCTCTTATAAAATACTTGGCCATCTTCCATTTTTTTTATACACAAGAGACCACAAGACATGGGCAAAATTGGTCCATCTAGGCAGAGGAGGTCACACCAGACTGAGAAGTAGGGTTCTGTTTGTCTCACCAGTGATGGAGCACGGCATCTGTCACAGTTGGCCCACCGTGCATTGGGAGACCACAGTGACTCAGTTAGCTTACCTCTCAGAAGGTTTGCCTGAACTTCTGCCTATCATGGTATACCTGATGCTTACAATGGTGCCACACTTTCTGTATCTTCCTGCGGGTACACTGCAGGGTTGGCCCATACTCAGCAGCGCAATGTGTCTTATCTTCTCTCTTTCCCCATGCGTCTAGTTTTTGTATAGGTGACAGAGCACAGTCAGTATCCTTAAACATTCTTATTTTTACCTTTTCCTATACTTCTAACACATCCTGGTCAAGCCTCTGCCTCGATACTGGTCAGGTCTCTTTACCAAAATTCTTTCAATGATCAGGACAGGGTATACAGGTGGAGACCAGGAAGATCTATCGGACAAGAGCAGCCCTTGTGTCCCCTGGGCAGAGACTGCTAGGCCACAGGTGGCCCCATAGTGGCATCAGGACCACCCAAGGCAATGCCAGATTTTCAGAACATGTACTGACCATTTTCTCAGTTCTGACAGTCTGATATTATTGAGACCTTGCTATCCTGGCAGGCACTGGAGAGAAAGGATTCAAGAACACTGCCCGCAGTAGCTGAGGGTGTGTATAATATCATGCCCCTGCACCATCATCTTATGGGGCCTGAGGTTTTAAAAGTCAGTTCTTTACACACTTATTCCCATATAAGCTTGTCATTATCGTTTACAACTAAAATATTTTTTGACTTTTTCCTGTGTGTCTCATTGAGACAGAGTCTGACTCTGTAGCCCAGGCTACACAGGGTTTATAAAAGATGGTTACAGTGGTTTTTGAGACTCCTGATGCCCTGGGTCCCTTACCTCAGTTTCCCCTGTCATAAACATGTTTGAAGGAGACTTACTGATGGATACTATAGTCTGGGTAGCATTGACTTGTCCACCTCCAATTTCTATCTGGCAGTCTTCACTCCTCCCTCTCCTGCCCAGTGTTTTCAGGAAAAGCTGGCTCCAGGACCTGGTTGGGTGGGGCTCTAGGGGTGTTTGAGCCAGGCATCCTTTATGTCAAATCTAGGCTCAAGTCCCACATTAAACCTAGGTTGAGCTCTTTGCTTTTCCAGGCCCTCTGGAAAGTAATGCCCCACACTGACCCAACAGTGTTAGAAACCTAACAGCTAGGCCGCCTGTTGCTGTTGCCTGGGTCTGCTGAAGTGTGCCATTTCTGAGACACTTCCTATAAGTTCACTGAGAAGAGAATGGTTGCCTTCAGTAAGGTGGTCCTTCTGTATGGTGGCTTCATTTTCTCTTCCCATGAGCCAGCCAAGAAGTCTACTCTGTCCTCTCTCTCTTCTCGGGCATGCTCTTAGCCTCTCCTGGACCCTTGCCACCTTCCCTATGAACTTGAGAAGGGTTTCTTTTCCCAGATTGAAAAACACTTCCACAATTCAAATTCAGTTTTTTTTTTTCAGGGACAAGAAACTTCATTCTCAGACAGTAAACATAATTGTACAGTTGACCCAGAGAGCGTCTGCTGATAGAATGGGGGTAGCCGGGGTAGCAGTGAGAACCCTGATTTTGTGAAGCTTTTTTGGGGGGACAACTGAGTCACTCCTCTTAGGTCTTCAGGAGAGGCGAGTCTCAAGTGAACTAATTTAAATTAGATAAACTATCTAATCAATATGTGAGCAGATCAATCAAAACAGAGACTTTCAAATGAGTGGCTAGAGGGGTATTTCGGAAGCTAATGGCTAGGAGAATATTTCTCTGAATTGAATCCACTTGTTAGCATAATAAGAGATTAAACCCTAATTAGTGGAGCAGTTTTTTTTTTTTTGAAAAGAAGCAATCTTGAGTCAAAACAAAACAAAACAACCCACCCCCATTAGCCAAAAAGAAAAAGAAAAAAAGCCGTGAATGCACTTCATTTGGTGGAGAGGTTCCAGAATGAGTGGAGTCTCCTCAGCACAGCCTCTGAGCTGGCTTTTATCTCGCTCGCACGGCGCCCGCCCGTGCTGTCCTGTGCCAACTCCATTTTCAAATCCACTTCGTCTTCACAGGTCGTTGTATCGACAACAGTCAACGTGGACGGCCACGTGCTGGCCGTGTCTGACAACATGTTTGTGCACAACAATTCCAAACACGGGAGGCGGGCCCGCCGCCTAGACCCGTCAGAAGGTACGGCCCCTTCTTATCTGGAAAATGGTAGGCACATGCTACATGTATTTTTTTTTTTTTAATTTGCAATGCTTCTTTTTCCTTTGTACCATCCTTCATGTTAATTCACGTGGAGTTGCTCTCACCAGGGCACCAGACCGCCCCAGCCCCATGGGGAAAGGCTAGCTTTCCTCAGGTGGAGAGAGGCCAGGCCTCTTCTTCCTCTCCCTTCGTGGTCTGCTTGGTCCTTACATCCATCTCACCTGCCATGACCTTCATGTTATTGGTTTGTTTCTCAGCTTTCTTTTGCTTATGGTTTTCATTTGTTTGGCTTCATTTGACTTGTTAGCAGCTCCCATCCAGAAACGCACCCCAAACTCTCTGTGCATGCTTCCATGGCTGGCTGCTTCCTGGCCCAGCTAGCCCAGATGGGGGACTGTGTGGACCATTTCCTATCCTTGGCGAGAGTCCCTGTATATGCGTGCGCTTGTGTCCACACACACATGAGAGAGAGTGGGGGGTGGAGGGGTGAGCAAAATAATAATAATAAAGTAAAAAAAGAAAGAAGAAAAAGCATAAAATGAGCCTTTAAAACAAGCACCTCTAAGTGATCGACTCTGTATCGTTTGTTAAGAGAATTTCCGTGAGACAAGTAGGTAGAATCAAGAGACACTAGGCCATAAGCCCCTCAGACACCTCCTTCTTCCTGCTTGCTCAGACCTCACCCTACCCAAGAGCCACTTCCTCTATCAAACACGCCAATAATCGTGAGACCTGATCAGTATGAGTTACTAGGAAGGGCAACATGAGGGTTTTTATTAAGTGACATGCAAACCAAACAATAAGATTAAATCCTTCAGAACAAAGATCCTATAAAACTAGATGGTTTTAAGACAAATCCTCCATCCTGAGGTGACGAATTCAAGAGCTGCCTGCGGGGGGCAGATGCAGGGAAAGGAAGGGGGCGTGTGAGGGTTATCTGAATGAAAGATGATGCCTTCGTAAAGCGTGGAAGACAATTTATGAATCTGCTGTGGTCCACAAAAATAAACTAATTTGTTTTTCTACATTAATGACTAAGGTATAGGAACAAAAATATAATAATTAAAGGTCGTCTTGAGCACCAGAGTCATTAGAGCCCGTGACGTATTGTTTATCTCCTTCTTGTGCACCAAAGGTAGGTGTGTGTTTTGCTTAGCAACCGTCACTAATGAGGCTCACAATTAAGAAGGTTGAATCCCTGGTCCTCAGTTCCTTGCTTCCCCAGAGAGCCTGAACTCGCAATGTGATAGGTTCAAGGAAGCCTCCTCAGCCCTCTGGTGTTAGGTTGTAGTCGAAGTCCAAACACCATCCTCCTCTAATGAGCTATGATGACCCGAGCAAAGTGCAAGTATTTATTTTTTTTAAGTAGCATGAGAAAGCCTTTGACTGCAAGCAGAAAACGTAACATTTAGCAAAATCAAGGCCACGAGTGACTACCTCACAGATAGAACCCGCCTCATCACGAGCCTTTTGTGGAAGCAATACTGGTCAGGCTT